AAGCCCTGTTACCAACGCTAGTAGCAGGCACCCTAGTGTCCTGCTACACGGAGGAAGGACCAGGGCAAGGAAGACTGATAGACCGAAGGAGATGGAGAAAGCTGGGACAGCTAGAGGAGTCAGCTGTGGAGAGCAAGCAGGAAATGCATCTGACTGGAAAACAGGAATTCCACCTGTAAAAACTTTTGAGGTTTTGGCTGTTAGCTTGGTTCCTATTAGAATGAACAGTAGACTTTTAGAAGTTGGTGGGATGTGGAAAATCCAGTCAAGCCTCTGTTCTTCCTAGTTCAGATCAGGGACTTCCACCTGGCACGTCCACATTCCCAACCATTACCTTAATAACCAGGCTAAAGTTACTTTCACTTGCTCTTTTCCAAAGACTGTATACAAAATGGAAGCGCTTCAGCTCTCTTCGGAGGAGAGACTGAGAAAAACTTTGTCCTATAGTCCAGTGTTTAGGTTTTTTCATGGAGGGTGCCTCTATCTTATTAGGGTGTTAAACTGAAAGACTTTTCCTGACAGAATTTCCTGTTGAAAAATTATGCATTTTCTGTTGAAAACTGCATTCTCACAAAAAGTCTTGGTTTCAATGTATCAGCATCTTTCAATTAAAAGAATTCCTGGCCAGCTCTACCAAAAACCCTTCATGTCACTCAAAAGTGAGTCAGAAGTCAGGGTAGATAGGCAACTTTATAGACTAACTGAATAAGAGGTCTATAGAGAGTACAAACTTTCATGAACCCAAGTTCTCTTAATCAAATACTGTGAAAGGACATGCAGAAAGCAGAGTAAAGGAAAAAGAGAAAAATTAAAATACAAAAGACAAGGGAGAGTGGGGAAAGAGAGAGAGGGGAGAGGGACAGTGGTAGGAGAGAAAGGCAAACTAGCAATAGATCCATAGGAACAAAGAGGGTCACAAAAGCTATTTTGGCAATGAGATAAGAATTCATGGTTCCTGTTTAAACCAAACTTAACACAGTCCAGTTCATGAAGGATTACTTGGTCCTCAATTTCCTGTTCAGTTTGGTCATTGGCAATGCACAGGGGGTGAGATCAGCCATGCGCCCCCTGGAAGTGCCAGCCATGAAATCAGAAGTGCTGCCACAAGTGCACTTCTGGTTTCACTGCTGGCTCGGCAATTGGCTGCTGGGGGACACACACCCACTTCGGTGATCTGGTGTGCTCCCCAGACTTGGGAGGCACCAGTCACCCATGAATTTGGTTTAAGCTTTTTCTTTTTTGCATGAGAACAACAACCCTGAGCTCAGTGGTGGAGTGTCCACAGAGGTACACATGTTCTGCCACAGGCCTTAGGTCTTTTTATGCCTGATATCAGATTGGTGTTCATTCACACTTACATATCACTTTGACTGTCCAATGTAGACAGCAGAGGGGCATCGGAAGCAGGCGATGGGCTATATGACATTGGTAAATTTGCAGGTAAATGAACCTTGGATGTTGTACCCCTTGTTATTCGGTTCAGTGATTATGTGGTTTGTATTGATGTGGGGACACAGCAAGCATTTGGGTTCATTGCAAGATCCATTCAGTGAGGATGGGAGTTCATTAGTCTGTTGTCTGAGAGATGCCATTCGAGGCTGGGGGGCTTCCCATCAGCAAGGACAGGTCTGTCCCCCATGTCTACCTTGAGATGGTCATCCTTTTCCAGGAGGGATTGGAGATTGTTAATGATGTTCAAGCTAGGGACTGTAGGTGACAATCAGAGGGATTTTGTTGTCCTTGTCCCAAGTTTGTTATTGTAGCTGGTTGGAGGGAGGTACGAGTCTGGCTTTGTTGATTTGAGTGGCTCCAGTTTTGAGATTGTATTGTAATTGTAGGAATCCCTGCTCTACACCTATAAGATGTTCATCCTTGTCAATGGGGTCATAGCAGATCTGGTTTTAACATAAGACTTGGCTGTAGATGATGGATCTAGTAGTGTGCTTAGGATGAAAACTGGTAGCATGAAGTCATTTGTGAAAGTCATTTTGTTTCCAATGCAATGATGATGCAGTTACTACAAACTTTCACTGCAGTGTCTTGGAAATGAATCTGCTGTGTGGAGTACTCCAGGGTTAATTTGGTGGAGGCGTTTAAGAACTTCAGACTAATTGAAGTTATTAAAGTCTTGGTGAAATTTCTTTAGAGATTCCTTCTCATGTGTCCATATTATGAAGGTGTCATTGATGTACCCTAGGCCATCCCTGCGGGGGGATAAATTGGGGCGACCGCCCTGGGCCCCACACTTTGGGGGCCTCATGGTCAGTGCTGCACTGGACCCACCACAGCTGCCATGCGCTGCTGCTACCGTCACTGCTGAGCGCCACTGGCTCTACCACTGCCACCACCAAGCACTGCCAGCTCCAGCCACTCACCACCCCCTTCCTCCACCACTCCTCCGGCTCCAGCAATTTTCCACCCCCCAGGCCCCGCACAGGCTGATATAGCCTGGGCCCCGCACACCCCTAAGGACAGCTCTGGATGTACCTGAGCTGTACCAGGGGATGAGAGGGCAGCTGCAGAGGAAATGAACATCCTCTGCCAGCAGAATGGGGTCAGAGGAAGGGCAAGATGAAGTGCTCTGGGTCAAGATTCAGGGGGGGCAGGGGGAGAGGGATTTGACGGTGGGGGTCTACTACAGACCCCCCAACCAA